ACAAGTACTACTACCACTACTACTACTACTACTACTACTACTACTACTATTACTACTACTACTACTACTACTACTACTACTACCTGCTACCTACTACCTACTACCTACTACCTACTACCTACTACCTAACTACCTAACTACCTACTAACTACTGCTTACTACTTATTACTTACTACTTACCACTTACTACTTACCACTTACCACTTACAACTTACTACTTACTACTTACTACTTACTACTTACTACTTACTACGTACGTACGTACGTACGTACTACTACTACTACTACTACTACTACTCCTGCTGCTGCTGCTGCTGAAGCTGCTGCTGCTACTTGTATTTTCTTGCCGTTGTCACTGTTGGCTTTAGGTGTACCGAGTATCGTCCGACACTAGAGCAATCTCTGTGCCACTTTGCAAGCTCTTGTGGCTGTCAATTTGCTTGCTGCGCCAGGTTATACGCGAGTAGCTCGTCCGCGACATTGGACTTTGCAAAGCACTGGGACGAACAGCATCGGGCCAAGCTAGAGGTCAGACTTTCGTGCCACCTTTGCTCAAAGCCGCCGAACTTACTTAGAGTTCGTGTAAGGATGAGGCAGGGGAACCCGCGCTACAAAAGCTTGGTGTTGCTGGACAACACACCGCGCCGGCCTCAACTTTTGAAGCATGGTTGGGGCAGTGGTCGCAGAAGTCGCACGGCATGGAATGCTGCAACATGCATTCTGTACATGTGCTGTCCAGGAGACCACCTTTACGTATTTCCCTGGAAGAGTTCGAGCATCTTGGCTTGTGCCGCTCAGGGTGATTTCACGCGAGGGGTTGTCGTTGTCGTATTGCTTAACCCTTGAAGATGCAAGGGCTCGGACGAACTGGCCATCAGCCGAAGCAGCGCAGCACTTCCAGCGGTTCCAGGCAAGCGCCAAGGAAGGATGAGGCCCATGCTGCAAATTGGCTACATGCAGGTCAGGTAAGGCTTCCTGATTCCTGGTCACTTTGCAAAGGGAGGGACGTTCAGAGCCGGACAGGAGGTTTCGGACAAGACGCTGAGCCGCTTAGTCTCGAGATGGGCCCGGTCGATTGGGCAAATACGTTAAAAGCATAGAGATGGGCGAAGCTGCACTGGGCTTCACTCATGGCCCCTTTCGAGGCTGTAGCTTTCGTGGGGTCTAGTGGCCCTTAATCAGCACATCTGATTCTGCGAAGTTCTAAAGGATTGCTGCTCTCGCAAAGCGCACTCTACCACGGCCGAGCAAGAAGCCGGTAGGGTGTGGATTCCTTGTCCTTGTGCAGACTGGCCTGGTGCCCAGGGCCCAGAATGTGACTGCTTCTGTTGACTTCTGGAGAGAGCAGTGCTGACCACACCGTTTTTTCATCTCTTGTCGACGTGCACTGCTCGGTGGCTCTGTATCGTTTTTCTGATGCTGTCTAGCAACTTCGCTCCGAGCTCCAGAAGCGCTGTACGTTGACGACTTATGTCTGCAGGAGTGCCTTCCGTAACCCCGCAACCGGGGCAGCAGCAGATGCTCCGGCGTTGTGGCAGCGCATATTCAGCAGGTTTCAAGTAGTCTGTAGCGACCAGAATCGTTTGAGGATGCCAGCTGCCTGCCACTACGCCTTGTAGCAGAAAAGTGCCAATGCCTGGGTTCCATGTTCGTGGAATCGGTTCACCAACGGATCAATGATTCTTAAGTCAATTCGGCTGGGCTGTTACCCTTGTGGAACAGCTTTCGCAGAGTGGAGGCTGCAGAAGCGCAACTAACTCGACTGCCCGTGGCTCGAGCGTAGTGGAACGGTGTAGCAAAAGCCAATCTGAGATATGGAATTTCAAAGTCAGTCGTTGCATTCAGGACAACTTTGCAGATTCACGGTTTGAGCCACGTTCTATTCAGATCAAGCCCTGCTGATTGCCCTTAGCAGCTTAGCAGTTGCACTGCCACTGGCTTGGAGGCGATTGGAGCCTTTCGGGCACTGGATCTTGAGACCTGGATCTCCGCAGAACTCCCTCAAACCCCAGAGAGACCGATTACAGTGTCCACTGGGCACATCTTGCCAGCAGGCAGCATCTGAGACGAGTTTGGGTATAGTCCGTAACGTTATAGTTTTGCCTGGCATTTGTCTTGGGATCCTGTGCTCAAGGGACACGATGTATGCTTGCGCTAGCGTGGAAGAAAATGCTACAGGAATGCACTTGCCCCTGGCAAACTTGGAGGGGTATCGGGTCGTGCATGAACCACTGAATCGCATTTGCGGACTTCCCTTCAGCCATCAGGAGCTCTTGCGGTCCCCGAGTCGCCTGAAGGCAGCGCTTTTGCACATGTTCGGCTTTTTCTGTTCACCACAGCATCCTCTGGTCCCGCAGAGCCAGGTGGAAGTCTGGCGTCCTTAGCCATGGTGCCGGTCAGCAGCAGGGCGGGTCTCGCCAGCGACATTGAACGCAGCCGAAGAGAAGGGCCGAGTTGAGCACATTGTAGTCATCGCATGCTCAGGCTGTATGCATACCTACTGTACATGAGCTCCCTGCCAGGCTATGCAGACGGCAGCACCCCCCACCGTTCGCGAAGGGTTTTGGGCAGTGTCCTCGTCTTGAGGGACAGCGTACGGTTTGGCATCGATTTGCTGAGACTTGCGCGTGCCAAGACTGGACTTCGCTGCGGGAGGTTCCGCAGCCTTCCAAGGCTGTCGCGTCCGTGTTTTGGCCAACACACGTTTGGATCCAAGTGCACTCTGATATGAACAGAATCTGCAGATCTAGCCGAAGCCGCTCGGTAGGAGACGCGGCAGATTCCAAATCCGGCACCGGTGATCCTCACCTCCTCCAGGCCGGATGAACGTAGCGAAAGAACAGAATGAGCAAGTATTGGTAGGGAGAGTTGCAGGCGTGGTGATATCCGAAAACCGCTGACGGGAGCGCTGAGTCCGCATGAAGGCTGCGCACTTACGAGCGCATAGTTGATGAGGCATCTGAGCCTGCTTGTGCAAGGAAGTCCACCAAGTCCGTCAAGTCCGACCTCGTGCCGGGCTAAAGACAAGGCGAGTGCCAGTTGAGAAGGGCTGAGCGCAAGTAGAGTGCACTGAAGTTGTGCAGGCGGACGCGTTGCAGAAGGTGTTGCAGCACACTGTGGAAGATGTGGCTCGCCGGTTGCTTGCTCAGACACGCTGAGACTTGTCCTTCGATGGGGCAGCCCGAAGATCTTGCCGAAGCAGACAGATGCGGTACTGTCACTCTGACAGAAGCTTGCACTTCTCAGAAAGGCGAATACATGACTGGAGCTGTAAGGTTCTTTTCTCGGTCCGAAAAGCTATTGGCCCCAGAAGTGGCAGAGGCTCCTGGTGGGGCATATGTCTCAGTCTGTAACTATTCATTTAAAGTCTGCATCGGCTCATTGACAAGACAAGCTGTCTCATGGCAACTGCCGATATCCACGCAAGACTGATGTGACTGCAGAGAAGAATCGAGTGGCGAGGATGATGTCCCTCTCACGCTGCCGGGTGGCGTTCCTCGCAGTAGCAGGACTGATTTCTTGAGAGCGTGTTGGGTTACTGCAAATATCCTAGGAAGGCGGCGCTACACAGGTCGTTAGTGAGTCGTTAGTCCACACGGTCGCAGTCAGGACTGGCAGCGAGACGTCAGGCAAGAGCCAACAATGGGCCCTGACTTGCACTATTCCCTAACTCCCAAGCCGACAAGCTTCTGCATCACTTACACTTGCCTGTACGAGTTTCCAAACATAGCCAAACACAGCACCGCCTTGCCTCTTGGGCAAGTGTACGTGAAAGCCTGTTGCTAGATTTGCTCGCCTTTGGAACTGGCTCCCAAGCTCGGGAAGTTGGTGCCCCTTAGCTTGGGAGCGTTGCCATCTCTTCCCGGCCAGGTTTGGGTTCCAGCGTCGGTGACTCGAGCTGCCAGGCCAAGCGAGTGCCCGCGCTGCTGCACGCAAGACTGCAGTTTGGGCGCGCGACATTCGGATCGCAACCTTGCTGCCCTCTGTTGCGCAAGTGAGTCGAGCCGTGACCGAAGGCAACATTGCCCATCCCAGGCCGGGACCTGACCTTGTGACATTAGGCATAGCAGCATAGCAGGAAGCGCGACAGGCGAGTAAGAAGACCGGTGTAGACTGTATACTCACGGCAGTGTAGACATGCGCAACATGAGCTTGGGCACATCAGATGCAACGGCCTCAGCCCGCGAGGCAGAGCGATGCCAGACATCTCCAGCTCAATAAACACTGACAGGCTTTCAGACAGTTTGTGCCAGCCTCAATGAGTCGCCAAGAGAGAGAGAGAGTGTGTGTGTGTGTGTGCTGCCCCTTCTTGGCCGTGTGGAAGCAGATGCGTGTGTGTGTGTGTGCGCACACGTTGTATATGAATTGAATCTGGCAGGCAAAAAAGAGAGAATAAGTAAAGAGTCTGGTTGTAGAAAATTGAGCCATTGGGCACCGCAGTAATGCAGTGTTGCTTCTTTGCAAGAATGAGGGAAGCTGAGCAACGTCAGTACAGCAAGTGATCTTGAGCTTCTCATGCTCTCGCAGAATGATGCTCAAGTTTCCTTGAGGGTCAGGTAGCGTGAAAAGCGGTTAGCGAGCTATGCTTGCCGCAAGACGCTCGATGGCTGCATGTAGCTGATGCCAGTACACAAAGCCAAGTGTAGCTACTGAAAGCAAAGAACATGTAAGGCGCGTATAAAGGCCGGTTTGATTGTTTATCAGGGGCCCTCACCTCCTGCTTCGACGGGGTGCTGGACATTTTCCAAGATGTGCCAAGTTCTTTGGGTTGGGCGACCTCGTGCCTTAGATGCCGTTTTAGCATGCAGTACCATTCTACACCTGTGAGAGTGTGTCATGTGGAATCTAAGGCTTGGAGGCGCGTTGGTTCCCGTTGGTGAGTCAGAGCCACTTTCAATGACAGTAAAGTCAGGAAGCCCTCCTCCGGATGCCTTGCTGCGTTAGGGGTTCAAACTTTGGACTCTGTCGTGTGAGGGGTGTACGAAAATGCGGGAAGCCAGGGCATGGCAGCAGAACCATCCCAGAGCCATGCAAGGATCTGGTCGGCGCATACATGCGGGTTGGTCCGAACGCGCAGTACTGGCCGCCGAAAAAGCGCACCCATGCCTTCGATGGAGCCCAGTCCTCAGTCTCAGCTTCCTTTCTGGCCATGCTTGTGCCGCATGACCTCACCTTCCTGGGAATCCGCGACCATGTAGCAGGTTTCAGTTGCCGTTGCCGTTCTTATTATCGTTTTTCAGATGCGATTCCTGCCGTCGTCGTTGCCGTAGTCTTTCTTTCCCTTGCTCCTGCTGCTACTTCTGCTCCTCCCGCTGCTGTTGTTGCGGTTGTGGTTCTCGTGCTTTTTTTTTGTAGTTTCGGTGACGTCGGCGCGGCTTTGACGATGATGATGATGGCGCGGATGTCTGCGATCGTGGCCATGACGCAGATCGACCACGATGATGGCAATGATGCTGATCATCCGTAGTCGCCGTAGTCATGGCAATTGTGATAGTTCCCTGGTGACGATCGTGACGATCATGGTAATGCGGCCACGATTGGAGTTCCTCCTGTTCCTGTTGCTCTTGCCGATGCCGTTGCTGCTGCTGCTTCTCTTCCTGCTGCTGCTGCTGCTGCTGCTGCTGCTGTGGTTGTGGCCCCTTTAGTTTAAATGAGAAGCTCTCCACAAGCAGCAAGTAGTTTTCTCGGCTGCCAGCGCAGATGGATCTGGTGTTGAACATCCGCAGTAAGGCGCAGTATTCCCTGTAGAAGTTTTGCCAGCATCTGCCACTCACACTGGGACCGGGGCCTTTCACGTACCTGATGGCTTCCGCGCAAATGTAGGGTCGACCGACCAGCTTGAGCTGGGTTTTATGCGAATCAACAGCAGAGGGGCTCGTGTGCATCGACCAGACTTCCCAAAACGCTGGCGGAGTTATGTGGAGTTGTGTAAAGGAAAACATCAAATCCGACCGCCCATAAGACAGATGACACCATCTTGTGACTTTGGGCTTGGTAAGCTTGCCCTGTGCCTTAAGATTCTGTTATAGTTATGCCATCAATCTGCTACCTAAACCGGCTGTGAAGAAGGGAGCCCCATGAGGCAGCCGCTTTTGAAGGACTCCGCCTTCCCAAAGACGTGCACAGCAGTGCCTGGTAGAGTCAAGTCGAACGGGGTTCCCTTCGCTTGTCCACGTCCTAGGATGGAATGGTTCACTCGGAAGCTTGGCTCAACAAGGGTGCTAACAGCACATGCGGAGCTTTTTACCTTGGTAGGGCACAGCTTCCTAATACGCAACTGCGTCAAACGTGCCAGTGCAACAGGTTCGCCTCTCCGAGGGCAAGGCCGGAAGTGATGTTCTTCTAGGTCTTTTATCAAGCAAACTATAAGAGGTTATAAGTTACAAGTATAGCATAATGCTATAACAGAAGCACAGGCATCCTATTGCTGCAAGTTCATGGAGACGCCCCGATACCTGTTCGAGAAGGAATATGGCAAGGAATGGTTTACACGGATCGGAGAATTCCATGGCTTTGCTGGCCTCATCAAAATCTTGGCAACCGTGGCTCGCTCGCAAGGGGGGGGAGCTGCTTGCAGCAAGCCAGGTTAGACAGTTGCCCGAGGTCCCGAAAAAGACGAAGCTCACCAATCTGCAGGCCAATTTCGATGCCTCGACGGCCAATACGGCCATAGGACCGCGATCGGGACCACCTGTTGTTGTTGTTGTTGTTGTTGTTGGTACGAGAGTGTGCGACTTGGTGTCTGCGTGCAATAGGTTTGTGCACGTGTCGGTCACATTGCACGCGGGTTTGGTTTGCAGCTGTCTTTGCACAGTGAATTGGTGGCGCAAGTTTTTGGAGCCGCCCGAAGCTGTCGCTCACCGAGTCACCTTGGTCGCTCTTAGAGTCGATGCAGGATACACTCCGGAAGGAAAGCTTTGGGCACTGAATGAGGGCGGTGCGCCATTCCAATTCGCATTAGATAAGGCCGGTGACGGGAAGCTTTCCTCGCAGACATGTCTCTCTGACATGAGGCCGGTGTTCCGAGAAGTCTGGGCTTCGACTCCTTGGGAGGAACCCTTCGAGAATCCATTTCTGTGGCTTGGATGTGTCAAAGACCAGATTTTGCAGTCTCTGACTCGCGGTTGTTGACACCTTCAGTAAGAAGCGTCCTCTCCTGCTTCGGCTTCGTCCCGGCTTTGCTAAGGCCCACCCTAAATTCGACCTGCGGACCGGAGAGACTTTCTTTCATGGGCGAAAGCTTGCGGAAAACCACTTCTACGCAGGCCGCATGTTCAATGGCAACCCGACCTACTTGGTGGGTTGCTGTTCCAGTCTGTGCTTGTGTCTGCATGTACACGATCAGAGTTAACTACAGCGCAGAGCCCGTGCAGCCTATGACTTCACAAGGTAGGCTGGTGGACCGACTGGATGTGGAATTGAAGGTGCCGGGATTCCACCATGACATGTTCATCACGGAGAATTACATGGTTCTTGTGGATGGATCCACCCGCTTCACGCCAGAGGGAGTTGTAAAAGGGCAGCCTCTCTGGAACTTCGACCAGGCAGGGACAGGTTCAAGGGCTACTGACAGCTGCTAGCTTGTTCGCTCTTGTGAAACCTCACCGGTGCATGTAGGCTGCGAAAAGAAAGGGGCTAGTCTTCGAACATCGTTTCAAGTCGCGAAGTGGTGAGGACTCGTCTAAGTGCGGACTTGTAATTCGGGCCTTTATCCGCGAAGAACCTCGGTCACCGGGTGCCCAGCATGTCAGAGGAGACTAACTTTTCTGGGGCTCAGGCAGCTGAAACCCTGGGAGGCCAGGAACCTGCGCTTTGGCATCCATCCGCGGAACGAAAAGCTGTCTGCAGACACCCGGCCCTGCCAAGCACAGCAGTTGGCTCCTCTTCGAGGGTAGGGTACCGAATTGCTCTGGCACACGTGGAAAGAAGAAGACGGGTTTTCTGGAAGATCGAGCTCCCACATCCTGGCATCTCAGGAGAAATTTGTATGGGTTGAGGCGAAAGAGCCTGCCGAGATGCTTGGTCTCATTTAAATACAGCTAGAGGTCGACCCTAAGACTCTACCTTGCGACGGCGACTCTGAGGATTGTGCATACCTGCTATGCATATGACGAGAACGGCAGAATCATTCTGTGGTCTCCGGTTGAGTTCTACGAGGATCCGAGTACTTCGCTGTGCAGGGCAGACGCTCTTTGAAGTTCGGAAGAGGCTTGTCTCCCACTGCAGGAAGGTGCCGTTGATGGAATCTTGGGAGGGCTTGGGCCTGGACGCATGCATCGAGTTGTTATCGATACTGCCTCCAAAACTGCAACTTGCCTCAGACTGTGCCTGCAACAGAATCCCTTTTGCTGGATGTGCAACCCCAAGCAAGCCTTTGACACCTGCGCAAGGTTCAGATAGAGAAGGTGACGGGAGGGGACGAGCACATGACAGAGTTCCCTCGCATTAGAGACGATCGCATTGGCAAGCGGGCCTGCCGCCCTGCATAGTCTTTGTGTGCAGTGCATGGCTGCAAGTCTTGATGCATTGAATCCTCGGAAACTTGCCAAGATCAGCAAGTTGGCATAGGTGCGACATGGTTACTCTGCGCTGCAGATTCCTGGATGATGCTTGGCTAGCTTTCGTTGGAGGTTGGAGGCAATGAAAGCCAGAAGTCTTTTGGAGCCGAGGCGACTTCAACTTCCGAGGAATCCTGAAGTGGGACTTCGAAGAATGCAAGCTGGACGGCGTGGCTTGGTAGCTGCTGGTAGAATGAACGTTTCGTCTTGGAAGTATGGACAGGTTTGATCTAGGGCTCTTGGCGTTGCATGGAAAGCCTCGAGCCTGTCTGAAGCACTGAAGCCACTCCTCGTAACTGCTGTCAGCATTGTTCCACAGCACGGGAGCATGCGCAACAAAGTTACGAGTCGAGGTGATTCGATATCCTGATGATGTTGTCGGAGGTGAGCCCATTTTTGCACCGCGCAACGGTACGGGCGAGGAGGCGCACAATGAATATACTCCGTGGTCTCTGTCGTCTTCGGCATAAGACAGGGAATATTCCGGGATTATTCCTGCAGTCTCTAGATTTAGCGGTTTCCGCTCGTCTGAATGCACCCTCCCCCGACATGAAGTCGTTCCCGGCCGACAACGTTCGATTATTATGCGACAAGCTTGCATCATGAGCCCCAAAAGGTAGTTTCACAGCACAGGCCACAGTCAGTCCAGTTCCGAGATGTTCCAAAGAATCCCTCAAAGCAACAGACCCTCAACGAGCGACTTAGCAATAGTTAGTATTACTGATCGTAAAAAAGAGCCTGAATATTAGTGGTGTCGGGCTCACAACACCTTGAATTCGATTTGCAGCACCGGAGGCGAACATGTGCGTATGATTGCGCATGTGTTCGTGCCGACCACTTTCTTGTGCATGGAAGGCTATTCAAAGTGGAGACCATTTTCCGTTTCTTTTGCTGATGGCTGTTCCGAATTCCTATTCGCAACACCGTTCCTGCTGACGCCCTTGGTTCTTTTTTTGTTGGGCTTTGCCTTTTAGCAAAGAACAGGATGATTACTACTATTATTATTACTACTGTTATTGATATTCCCTAAACCCTAAACCCCCGAACCCCCTAAACCCCAGGATGATGGCTACCCTAAACCCTAAACCCTAAAGAACAGGATGATGGCTATATGGTGGCTTTGCTTTTCAACGAGAAGACCCAAGAGTCGACCTTCGCGGTCTACGATGCAACCCAGCTCCGAAGCGCCGGTCCTTCTGTTGGCGTGGGTGATAGTACTAATATATAGGGGCCTTAAGAATTGCCCACACTATTTTGGGGGATTTTTATTATTGTTTTAGTAGCATAATATACTCCGAAACCGTCCCTATTCTAATTATTAGGGCCCTATATTAGTGTTGTCGTGCTAGATACTCTTATGTGCGCGCGCGCGTGTGTGTGTGTGTATGTCACATTGTATGTCTGTAGGTACGTACCTAGTATGTATGCATGTACCCATGTATGTCATGTACGTAAGCAGTGTTTGTAATCATACGTTGAAACAGAGACCATGCGCCTATCGAGATGTGCCTTCTTCAGTTGCATCTTTCGATCATCAGTCTTAGGTGCATGTGGTAGGGGGTTCAGTCTCAAGGCCAAGACCTTCTCGTCGACGCCCGTTGTTGAATACTCTGTGCCGCGACGGGTGCCATTGGGCTTCCATGCCATTTGGCTGTCTGAGGCGCAGCCGGAGCCTTGGAGCCAATCGAAAGACTAGGAAGAATCCTTGAGAGAGCGGGTGTCTCAGGTTTCAGAAACAGCTCCTTGGCTGATAAATGCGGAGATCCGCGGCTTGAGCTGGGTCCGCATGACTGTGCCCAAGATCCGAAAGCAAAGGCTGCAAACGCTCCGGGCGTGAGACCGATACTGAAGCTCACCCGGTTTCACCGCGTACAGGCCCTAGGCTCGACGCGCTGTAGCGCACGGCGCTCGCTTTCGGCTGGGCAACCACCGTCCCCTGAAGGGACTGTGTGTACAAAGCAAACAGCTCGCACTGATTTTTGCGGGTCCTTTGTTCATACCACCAAATTTTCCGTTCGTGCTGGTATTGAAAACGGAGACGTCGACCAGCAAAGCCTACTATATTCCTTTCACCACGACGTCGTAACATCACTTCCTCAGCCGATTCGATGAATGGTTCCTGGACGGAGCCCAGGCAAAGCTCCGCAATCTCCGAAGCTCTTCCGAGTACTCCAACGGAGGTGCAGGAGCTTCCCTGCGAGCAAAACTGCTAGTGAAAGACTCAGGATCTTCGAAGCAGAGGCTTCGTGGATAGCCCAAGCTCTACTCAGGCCCCAGTCTCGAATGAAGAGCGACAGAACCGCGTGAGCCTCCCTTCCGGCAGGGCCTTTCACCTTCTCGGCGGCAGGTGCACGTGGCTCGAGGTGCCATCACGCAGCAAGCGATGTGTCAGAGACTTCCGGTATTCGTGCGTGCTTGGTCCAGGCCGGAAAGCAAGGCCCAACGAAGAGGCTGCTCACACAACTTGGCTGATGATGCTGGTAAACTGAGCTTGTGTGCTGAATTTCTGACTTGCGCAGCAGATGTTCCGGTGCATCTTTGCAGATGGACTTGCTTCTACCCTGTAGGACTTCACGCAGCAGCAGCAGCAGCAGTCCTGACCTCGGCGCACTGTTGGATCTGTCTCGGTCGTGAGGCACATGGCTCAGCTTCTGGATGGAGTGAGCTGAGGCTTGTCCGACGATGGGGCCGATGTGCCAGTGGGGGTCACAGAGATGCTTTGGCTGTTCGCAGACTTTGGACATCCTGCGTCTCGTGACAAAGGATCCACTAAATCTGAGTTTCATTGAGTAAAACGACGACGGGTTGTGATGCTCCGAGAAAGTCGTTTACCCTGGTGCTGCTTCGATGCTGCAGAAGCTGATGTGCCACTGCTCCCGGCATTTGCCGGAGAAGTCGAGGTCGCTCTCCTTCCAGGGCGCTGCGTGGAGAGGCTGGTTCGTCCTTCTCTGTGCGAGCCTGGAACGAACCCCAAAATCTCAAAACGTGCAACCAAGCACGAAGGCAACGCGATGCAACGCGCATTGTTGGACTGCCAGGAGATGGAGCCCAAGCCAACTTCACGTTCAAAGTCTCTCGGGAGGCCTGGCGTTGGTCATGGCACGTACCGCGTCTTCTTAGGCATGTCACAAACAAAACATTGCTTATTCTTCATTGTGTTTCATTAATTCGCACATAGCACAGGGCGGTGAAAGCAAGCTTTGGGCACGTTGTCGTCGTTGTGTTGAAAGTTCGTAAAATTGAAGTGCACATTTGGAATCCTACTGTACGCTTCTTAACACTACTGGCACTGCCGCGGAGGGCGGAGGGCTCAAGTTTCGCTTCCGGAGCCCGGACACCATGGCTCTGGCCCAAAGTGGTGGCCTCTTTGTAGGGGTGCGCCAGGGGATTCTGGGAAAGAGCCTCGCGAGACCTCATGCTTCCAGAGCTACTCCAAGGAGTGAAGCCGCAGATAGCCCAGGATCCACCCATACATTTTCAAGGGTGCTTCGGATGACATCCCTCTTGACCATGTCCTGGGCTTCTTTGAGGCGCAAAATTGTCAAGGCAGGAGCGCAGAATCGCCGTAATGCAGTCGTGGGATGCCTCTCCACCGCCATCGCCACGCAACCGTTGCAACCGGCAGCGGCCGCCGAGTGGTGCGAAGGATCGGTTTTCAATGGTTCCTGGACTATTCCGGAGTCGCTCGGTGGGAAAGCCAGCATCTCGGTTCGCGACGGCACGGCAGTCATCACGGGAAGCAAGGGTGGACAGAAGTGGGAGCTTCGCTCCACAAATATTCAGGGCGCACCACTTGTTTTTCGGATTGCCGGAGTGCAGCGGCAGTTTTGGGTGGATTGGAGGCCACTGGGTGGACCGACGGAGCTGCGTGGGGTATGGCAAGGGGGTATGCTGGACGGACCCTTGGCAACAGGCCCTCCAGAAATCAGGTGGGACGATGGCAGCAGGTGGCGCAAAGTCAGTTGCAACGCCGACTGAGCGGCAGAGGCAGTGTGACTCTGAATGGCCTGACCGGAGTAGCCATGACTATGAATCGTTTGAGAACTCGCTGGTCGCAGCGCTGCTTCCGGCCAGCTCCTTTGCCAATGTTGCAAGGGACCCGATCAAAGCTCTGTGACCTGTTGATGAGTTGTTGACAAAGCTTTGCAGCATGGCATTGAGGGCTAGATCGCGAAGCCTCTCAGACAGCATGCAGGGACGACATGCCCTGCAGCCAGGCAAAGAACAACTTCAATCCGATCTCCCTCGGGTCACGACCCCGGTAGCACATCGCAGAGTCTCAAGTCTCACCCGGCTCACGCTGCCTCAGGTGCTTTGGATTCGCCGTCCAGCTCGCATCACAAGCCTGTGGCCCATGAGATCCCATGAGGGATCAGTGTTGCGAGCTTCTCCAGACGATGTTTCAACTCTGTCCGGCCGAGGAGTGTGAGCTTTGCAAGTTCGAGTCGTAAGTCCGTGCCGGAGTCCCCAACTCAAGGCCACCAGAAGCCATCATGTTCCACCCTTCTGATGTGATCGGATGTTTCAGGGCCCTATAGGCCCGCCCCGGACGTTGCGTCTCTGCAGAGGCCATCATAGTCCCTCGAAGCGGCCTGGCGCTGCCAAGTCTCTTCAAATTCCGAAGTCACCAACAGCGGAATCAGGAATGCGAGGATCTCCGGGCTTGATGGAGGGAACGGACGCGAGACATACAACTATATATATATATATATATATGGTCTAGAGGGCGTGCTTCTGCCCCTCCTTTCCGAACAGCCCCGGGCCCTGAGTTGCATGTCGCGTCTATGCTGATCGTATGAAAGCAGTAGACCTACAGCCGTTGCGTGTTGTGGGCGGTGTCATCTGCGTATCTTGAATCTGTAGCATGGCATTGCACGACCGTTTTCACGCAAGCTTCAATGGAGTCCTTAAGCCGAACCGTTGGTGAGGACAGCGGAGTGGAAGTTTTTCGCGACTTCCCGGAGAGACGCCGGATGCAGGACTTCGTCCTGTCGCAAACGAAGACTACATGACCCCAAGAGTGAAAGCATCGTTGTGACCTTTCTGCAGGGCGCAAGCCGTCAACGAAGAGATCTTTGCTGGCCAGCTCCGAGTCGAATCCCGAGCCATCTTCGCCGGAAGGATCCCCCTTCGGAAAACATGCATTCATTGTGAGCGACTGCGAGCGCTTCATCATGCTATGAGCAATAGAGAGCATGTGAGGCCGCCATAGGCCGCCCTCATGAGAAGATGCAACTGACATGCCTCGCAGGAAGCAGCAGGAGCTACACTTTCTCGAGGCGGCTCCGCAGCCCATCCTCAGACCGCAGAGGTCGCGACGGTCGCAACTTCTCTCCGACACTGCAAGAGCGCACATCCACAGCGATCCATGCATTGGAGCATGGTATGGAGCCGCCTGGAGCCTCAGATAAGTGGCGCGTGGCTCAGCTCTTCTGCGAGCTTGTCCCGCGCTCCGTGGCCAAGATTCAACGCATCGAGCGCGTGGTCACTCCTGAGACGTACGGGAAGTTCATGCAGAAGACTGGCGCCGGGGAAAACGCAAATGAATTCGGAATCGTTTTCTTCACGCCAAAGGATGCTGATGAGTTGAACCGAGTTTGTTCTCATGGCTTGGCAGCGCGGTCTCCGGCAGCCCGCGTGGTGTCAGACTGCGGAGCAGCGCTTGAGAACCAGTTGCGGAGCGAGGAGCCAGGGAAAGGACTGGATGTGAGATCGATGTGCGTGCTGTTCTGTGGACCAGAGGTGGCCAGGTCAAAACTGGGAGGCGTCAGCGATCGTCCAACATCCGTTGTTGATTTCGAGGCGGAAGACGCGAGTGATTTTCTTCCAGCCTACACAATTCACTACCAAATTGTGGCCGAAGAGCCCTCCGACCATGCAGAGTTTCGTTTGCAAAGCCCTTCTCCGGAACATGCCCGCTCACCTTCCCGCTCGCGTCGGGTAAGTGTGCGAGATCCCTTAGTCCAAGGCATCCTTCAGAGGCTGCCTGAGTTGGGGGATGATGTTGCAGGTACCGTCTTACTGCCCAGCAACTCTAAAGAGGCTGAAGCCGTTATCTCTCTGTATCTTCAAAGTGGCGGGGCTTCCCGACTTCGACGGCCGCCTGGAGTGAACCTTCGCGAAGCTTTGGGAGGCGTCGTCGTCCAACGCATCGAAAACAAGATGCTTGGCCTCGAGTATCTCGATGTTGAGCTGGAGTCAGCAAACGGTCCCCGATTCCGGGAGGATGTCGTCTGGCATGGAACCCGGCTGAAGCGTGCTGATGAAGAGGCCAGCTTGGCCCACAAGCTCCAGTCCATAGCAGAACACGGCTTTGATCCTCAACGCTGCATCAAAGGAGCTCATGCAGCCGGGGGGATCTGGCTCGCTGCGAACCCCATGGAATCCTTCGGGGTGGGAGGAGATGGACTGGTTGCCTTTGTCCTTTGCCTTGCTAAGACGAATTTCAATGAATGGGTAGACACATCCTGCGCCCGAGTGCTGCAGCGTGAAAGAGTCTTACCTCTTTATTCTTTAGTGCATGTGTAGTGCGGTCCGCCCTTGATTCTTATCAGGCTCCAAGATGAGATCCTGCATCCTGTTGACAGGTGCACTCAAAGAGTGCATCTTTCGGCAGTGTGTGCCTTTCGATTTTAAATTTTGCTGTCTGCCAAGCAGTCAGAACCTCTTGACCTTTTAGCAGCCAAAGAAAGCCGCAAAAGACTTGCCAGCTTTAGGTTGGACAACCAGAACAGCTGGTCCAGGCTGGTGGCTTCCCGGGATGATTTCTGCCACACGCCAGCGGAAAGCATCAAGAAATCGCGCTGGCTTCACATGCTGCAGGCATTTCTGAATAGCATCGTGAGGGTCGCGGGCAAGCTTGGCTGTTGTGCGACCGGTGTTTGCTCAGCTTTCTGGCTATTTCCAAACCGACGGCCCCCACATGTGTACATAAACCGTGCATTATGGTAGGTCTGACCTTCTGGCAGCCCGAAGATATGAAAGCAAGGACAATCTTGGACAGTACCTGCACGACACTGAGCAATGAGCAGCCCTCCCGAGATTCAGTGCTGTGTCAAAAAACTCGAAGTGTTCGGAGCAGTTGTCGGGCCCGGATCATGGCGACGGCTGCCAGGGAAGCAGAGGCCCCCATCGAGAACCCCCAACGCAGCTGGGCGGCGGAGCCCCCACGCAGCGCAAAGGCCATCTTCCACAAGCACACCACCACAGGACCGGACGAAACTGGCTTTCGGGCTCGGTCTTCACGACATACTCTCTCAGACAGAGGTGTGCTGTCTTGCTCCCCTGTTCTTGGCGAGAAGGAACCTTCATTCGACCCATTACCGCACCTTCAGTCACACGCCATGGCCTCAGACAACAGGCTGCCACAGTTTAGCCGTAGCTGTTCTTGAGGCGCAGTGTGCCACAGGGTCAAGATACGAATACTAGATACTAGAGCAAGGAAGTACAAACTAGTCAAAGCCAAATGCTTACATACATACATACATACATACATACATACATACATACATACGTACATACATACATACATACATGCATGCATGCATGCATGCATACATACATAAACAAAAACATATATACATATACACATGCATGATAAAGATGTGGCCGCCTGTCTGCATGGAACGTGCATGGCGGGGATCTGAAACTGACTCGCAACGGTTTTAAGGCTTTTAAGGCTGCATCGATCCGGAGGCCCACCGCAATCCTTCTGTCTGTCGAAGCAAAGCCACGCTTCACCGACTATGTGTCGTGCTAGGACGCTATGTGTAGTTCCAAAGACGCCATAAAAGGAGAAAGGCTTCGTTGTCTAATGATCCGACTGTTTGTGATCCCTTTCCGGGGCTTCACAGAAAACATCAGAACACCATCATATGAGTTTCGAAACAACTTGGCCTTGAACCTTTTTACTCTTGCTTGTTAGTGTGACTGTTGTATCCGACGCTTGCATGTATTGCTTCTCGTACAAGTATGGTGTCAATGATGTCCTACGCTGCAATCACCCCTGACACACAGAATTGGAGAACGACACGACAACTGCATGCTTTCTGCAGAAAGCACGAAGTTGACACCTGTTGCTCAAGCTGCCTGTTTCAATTTTGTCTGAAACATGGCGTCTTTAATTCTGCATGGTGGTCATGAGGGCTCGCCATTTTGGCGACATCGCTCCGTATACTTGTGTGCGCAGCTTTCGCACAAGCATGTACTGGAGCGTTTGCAAGTGCAGCCCTTGCATATTGACTCCCTCCGGGCTGGATCATTGCCGAGGATTCGATCCCGTGCCGGGATTGCCAAACTTGGTGCAGGGTGTGCCAGCCAGCCCCCGCGGCAAGCGCCTTGTTCCTGGTGCCCACAGGCGCCCAGTCTTCGAGCTGTAAGGAAAGCGAGTTGTACGGCGCTACTCCTTCCTGTCCTGCCGTTGTTGCTGCTGCATGCTGCTGCTGCTGCTGCATGCTGCTGCTGCTGCTGCAGCAGCTATGCTGCTGCCCACTTAATGCTGACATTTTAGCTACTGCTGTGCTGCTCGTACTACGACAACGACGGCGTCAACAGCGACGACGACGACTACTACCAGTACTATATGATTAAGGCTACTACTGTTGTTTCTGGTACAGCGGCGACCTTGACGGCAGTTTGAAAAGCAGCAATCCTCCCATATCGTTATCGGCGCCGACGATAGGCCACAACGTCGAAGGTAAAGATTAGCCATACCCGTAACGAGCACATGAGTGGCAAACTTGCCAAGGCCGATAGTCGCACTTCCAATGGAGAAGACTGAGACCATAAAGGTTCCAAACGTATTCCTACAAGTGAAGGTCTTGAAATTGTTAGAGTTGAAATAAACAGATCCACGGTTGTAGTCGTTGTAGCCGCCCTCATTATGCTTTCCATTGAAAGCAGTCATACTATGCTCATCGGAAGACCACCCAGAAGAAACGATTACCAAAAGAGCTCACAGCCTATCCACGCACTGCTTTGCAGGATGCCTGCGATCCCAGTGAAAGGCGCCACTGCGAACGGCCCGTGGGCAGAGTGCCGCGGTGCCACTCCCAACGAAAGAATGCGGCGAGCGGTGACTTGACTTTTGATGGCTGCAGTGCTTTTGAATTGTATTGTTGTTACTGGTATTTTGTACAAGCACTCCGGGTTCGGGGTTAGTAGCTAGCAGCTCGGGCGTTCAGCACGTGGTAGCAGTCGTCGTAGTAGTTGCTTTTGGCTTTGGGTCTTGTGGACTTGGATGGCGGATTCCAGCTGTCGCTCTAGAAGAGTTCATCTCTTGCTGGTTCATTCTCCGATCTCTGCGTTGGCACAGGCTTGGCCTCGACAAGGCACCGAGAACTCCCTTATGTATCGGCCGCATGACGGCAGTGAGACAAGGTACTTGTGTGGTGAACCTTTTCGTGATCTTTCTTTTCCTGGTATAATGAAAGCCACTCATAGTTTTAATGTCGATATTCTGGGTGGCAGAATGCGTGCAGCAAGTGGCACCCACCGAATCCTGACCCTGGCTGAGCAGGAACCCAGTGGAACGGAGAGCCGCACACGATGGCTGGGGAGAAGAAGTGTCTCTCTGTGCCTCACCACCTCCTCCGGCTCTTTCTCTGGACTCGCCAAGTCCTGGGAGTGAGAGGCCCCCCTGATGAGGGCGTTGGGGGCCATTTCCCTGTAGTAACTTTGAGCCTTTGCAACACTGGAAGGCCCAGGCACTGAGCGGCCAAAGACTCGGTAGTTTAATTGCGGGGAGATTCAGTGCCTCCGGGCAGAAATGCTTCACATGCCTGACTGACTAGTGATTGAAGGCTTTTCCATTCGGTTCTGTGATCACATGGTAATTAATTATATCATATCAACTTGGGACGCATCAGGCGAACGAGGCCGGTTCAGAGATCGTTCACAAATCAGGGGTGGTAGGTCTCACACTATGTCACAATATGACTTGCAATATGACTTCGTATTGCTGCACTCATCATGTCGTATCAGACAATGCTGACAGGCTTCGAGGTTTTTTGTTGCCGGACTTTGCGGTCGTACAGGGTTCTGGTCCAGAACTTATTCTAGCTTGTTGTAGTTGTAGTATCATTGTCTGTTTGAGAGCAACCGGCCATGGGGGAAGCGTTTGCTGTGTAATGTAAAGCCAATACTATGGGGTCGCCAGGTATGATGTTAAACTCCAGCCCTTTGAAACCCGAGCCAATGAGATTGAAAGCCTTGCGTCGCCGTTGTACATGCAGTCAGGAGAAAGTTTACCGAAGTCCTTCTAGGTTCTCACCCTCGCTGCACCAGAAAAATCGGGTGACAGAGATAACTTGCAACCGCGATGGGTCCAGGGCTGCTTGTTGATTCAATTGCATGCACGTCGTTTGGGTCGTAGGCTTCCTTGTATAAGATTCCTGGCAATCTATGCCGGAGCCCTGCATGTACATCAGCGTAGTGCCTGCTCAGCACTTTCATCACCTGTCTAGTTACCAATAGCTGTCTTGGAAGACGTTGGCACCCAACCCACACATGTTACAATTAACTGCAGGCAGCGGTGAATCATGGTGGCCCGGAAGCGCCCCAAGGACCTCGGCAACAGCCCCATGCATGTGCATAGCGTAGCATGCATGCCGATGAGTTTTCTGCATTGCAGTCAGCCGTCAGCATAGCTCAAACCACGTTGCGCTTGGCATCGCCGGAGGCCTCGGCAGCCCTGATTGGTCAGAGTCAGAGCACGTGCAACGCGTCGCCATTTAATACGTAGAACGATTCAGCATGACTCTTGAGTCTCCATAATTGGTACAAACCCAAGGCTCCGTACGGAGCATTACCTCAGGTTTCTTAGCTGTTGTGAAACCCCGCGGTTCACAACCTTTGATGCGGCCATGGAAACGATGGGACTTTCTACCCCCAGTCACATATCCCTGCAGACAGTTGCAAGTCTGCCAACGCCGGGAGTCCCAAGTTTCCGTGGTCGCAGATCGCCTGAACTCTTAGAGTTGCGGGGGATTCTTTTGCCCTTGGAAGGCTGCCAGCCAGCAGGCCCAGCTGAATTTGCTGGCACCTTGCCCTTTAGCTTCATGAGGTTTCCCGTTCGATGTGTGTCCGGCCAATACTGCGAGAGAGCTCTTGGATTTTTTAGTAGTACTTGGGTGCACGGGTTGCCTGCAAGAGCACATCATCATGGGATCCATGTCTGCAGAAGTAGGGTGAGCGGCACGCAGTCGTGCTGGAAGGAAGGCATCCAGCTGAGTTGGTCGAAGTTTTCCCGAACATAGATGCCAGATGGAGTTCGGAAACAAGCGAGTTCGTTGCCAAAGTCGTGCGATGATTGCAGCAGAACATCAGGACCAGATGAGGTCAGCCTAAACCCAAGAAGGAACATGTCATGATAGGACTGTTGCGCGCGACTGCGGTGCATACCCAACCCCTTTCGGATCTGCCAGCGCTGAGCCTCCCTTTAAGACGTTCACGGAACATCCAAGAACTAAGCGGAACTTCTCAGCTGAACTGCGAAGTCTCGAATGCTCCAGCATCTCGGAAACTCAGCGAATCCAGAATCTGCCTTCTAATCGTGTGCTTTCTGACCCCACGAGCATGCAGGCGACCAGCGCGCAACCAGTCAGGATAAGCCACGAACAGACACAGATAATTCACGGCTCTCATGGAGCATGATGGCAACTGCAAGGACTGAGTTTTGCCACGGGCTCACGGGAGGCATCATGCACGAAGTTTCCGCAGGAGCCACTGGCAACCTGGTCATCATCTTCCGATGAGAGCGGTTGCCTCTTAGGAGGCCTCTGCTGTGCAGCTTTGTGTCATTTCAGCCGCTTACCTGTGCTCAGAGTTTCGTAAGTGCCTGACAGCGAAGGCGGTAGCAAACACTGCCTCGACGAAGGCAATGAAAGAAGAGGCCTTGTGCAGTCTAACTCGACTTCTCGGAGCTTCCTTGCAAGCAGGTAATCCTAATTCGCTTGCACACAGAGATGGCCTAAGTCCCAGCAACGGACAAGGAGGGCTTCCTTTGATGTATCCTGCTCAGCTAAGGTCAATCACCGCAAAGTCGTGTACCTGCTGCTGCCTGCTATGTCTTGACAGGCCCGTTGCCCAGGAGCACAATGCTCCGGGGCCTAAGATGGCAAGAAGAATGAAGCTGTGCTCGCATCGGAGGTCTTGTGATAGTGACACTCCTGGCCCTCAACGTCGTCTTAGATCTGCCCACAAAGGGCAACCTCAGAGGAAGGGACGAAGTTTGGGCAATCGTGAAGTGTGTTCTGTTGAAAAATCCTGCCTGGGATGTGCTCATTCGCTGTGGATGTTAGCCATTTTGTCACGCCTGCATTAGGACGCAGCCCCTCTGGAGGGGAACATCCTGCACGGCTCTCAGTGCTTGAACATGTACACCTGTGATGTGTGTCACGGCGGGATGTGCATTCTCGGTTCGAGGTCAGTCCTCGAAAGTTTCTCGAGTCCGGACTTGTCTTGAAGGACGACGAGGCTCAACGAACCCAGCTGCTGTAGCAGCACTGTGCAGGGCAGCCCAACACAGCTGGAATTGTAGGTGAGCACTGCTGCTGTGCAGAAGGACTTAGAAAGGGTGAGCGGATTGCTTGCACCACTTCCACGGAAACAGCCTTGCATTTGCACGTTGCTTACTTTGCACCCGTTGCCTTGATGCTCGCTCCCCCCTTGCAGGACATCGTGGTTGGTGTCGGTGAGGGTGACAAGCCTACAGTGCCTCAACAGCACACGGCAACTTCGGAGTGAACTTGTGATTGCCTCGCCGTGGTCCCCATTGCCAGAAATGTTAGTTTCCAGCGATTTCAGATTCAATCGGCAGTGGTTTGAGCTCCAGCGCAGGCCGTCGAGAAGTCGGCTTTCTTCCATCTCGTGTAAGGCATCATCATCACATCTTGCACTCCTAGCTTGCTTTGAATTGCTCTATGATGCTTCCTTCTCCAGTTGCTGCAATGAATCGTGTTTCTTTGGAACGGGTCACAGACCCTTGACGCCTCCTGCGACGGTGTGCTATAATGCATGAGCTTGCGAGGTCGTCACCGATAGCTGTTTTTGGCACTCCTGCGGCATGAATACTGCACCTTGGCTGCAGTCGCCTGACTCGTATCCGTCAGTGTCGAGCACCTGAACGAGATTTGCAATGCTATTCTAAGACATCGGAGCGCTTCCCTGAGCAAGTGCTTGTGGTCATGCAGCCTCAGGTCTGCAGACTATCTGCAGATGATGTCTCAGTCGACGGCGGCTGTCTCAGAGACAGTTGGGTCTTTTGGTCTTTTGTTTCTGCTCCCACGACTCGGTCGTCAGTGGAGTGGACACTATGAACTGCCAAAGCTTGTGTCAACGTCAAACGTAGGACGATGTCAGTCATGTACGGTGACTGTGCGCTGATCTACTAACCTGTCCTCACAGGTGACAAGACAGTCAACGCCACGAATGCCAGCAACCTGGAGGAATGTAAGCAGAAATGTGAACAACTTGGCGAGGACCCCCCTGCAAATTGCCGCTTTGCTGCTGCAGTTGCTAAGCGAAGGGGCCACGTGTGTAGCCTTGTCTGGGCGGAAGTGTGACAGCGCAGCTTCTTTCAGGACAACTGCACCGGTGTCGAATACAACCACAAGTCACACAGGCGGGTCGGTTGTACCACCAAGCCTGTGCACGGGAGTCATGAGACTCCTTCCTTCAGCAGGGTTTTTGTTGGGACAGATCTCCCTGCCTGCGTTTGCTGTGTTGCAGGTGCGAGCTTTGGACTCGTCCCATTCTGTCGCATCGCAGCTGCTTAACTGGCCACGACTGCCCGGAGGCCTTTACAACGATCGCATACGGCAAGGAATGCCTTGTAGTCACTTGCAGCGTCCTTGCCGTGCATCTTCCAACCCGGTTCAAAACGCTCCGAGCAACAGTTTACGAGAGCATTCAGATGCTCGCATTGTTGGCTCTAGTGAATTGCTGCTTTTCGCTGCAGGCAAACTTTTCGTGCCACACAATGCAGTGCAAGGTGCGCGGTTGCCTGCCTAGCCACCACAACCTTGGGGAGTTATTTTCGTCTCCAGTTGCAGTCCGGCTTTATCGCTGTGATTGAAGTGACCTTTTCGAGCCTCTCCGGACTTGATCGATGACATGGGTTGTCTTAGTCTGCACACTTCAAACAACCCTCGAAGCCTTTGTTGCCGCATGCAATCAACTGTGAACTTCCGAATGCGTAGGCTATCGACCACCCAGTGCGCCTGCAAACCTCCGAGCGCAGCTTCCACGATAGTTTTGGAAGGACCGGGAAGTGTCTAAGCCAGGCAAGCTAAAAAATCTTGACCGACAACTGCGAAGTTGTGGTAGTGTCTAGGGGCTGCAGAAGCACCAGGAATCGAAAATAAGCAACCTGTGAGTGAGGAGTCAGCTCGGTAGCTCGGTTTTGCAGGCTTGAGGTTGCCGGCATTCAAGCGATCTGGCTTGGAAGTGCTCTCTTCTGTATGCGTGAACGAAGCACTGAACATGTGAGCAGAGCGGGTGTGTCAGAACGGCTTCGAGTCATTCCGAAGCCTGGGAAGGTAGACTATAGTGAGTCCAATATGGTACAACGCTAGTACCGCCTTGGTGTTGGCCTCTTTGTGAACCTGTCGGTCTGCAGGAGCATCTCGATCTCAGGCGCGGGCTTCTGTGCAAGACATGTCTGGATCGTGCCCAAGTAGTAAGATCACTGCCCGCAGACCTGTCCGGGGCACGACTCGAGATTCCATTCTGCAATGCGGCTCGAAGGTGACACTGTGGTAGCTGGAGGCTCAGGGCCTGAAGACATGGACTTGCGCAGAAGCACGACGGCTTGCTTCGAGCTGAACGGCACTGCACGGTTTGACACAACGTTGCTTTGATTCGTTTCAGGAAACATGTGGTCAATCTTAACACAGTGGCCGACCGTGTGGCAAAGTAGACAAAAGCTCCCTACCAGCACTTTCATTTCCTTGCTACCACTGCTAACAGAGGGATGCACACTGTCGCGAGTGGCCAAACCCCTCTGAACCTGCAGAAATAAAGAAGTGCAGAATCAAAGAACGACAGACTGGAAGAGCATAATCTATGACTTGTGCCTTGTAGAAGAAGAGAACCTTCTTTGCGCGAGAGCGACAGAGACAGAGAGAGAGAGAGAGTGTGCCTTTTGGCTCAAGGCCGTGAGCGGTTCGAGCCCCCAGCCCGGATACTTACACAGAGAGAGAAGAGATCCTTTGTCGTCGGGGGAGCAACACGGGCGTGCCGAGAGAGTGTGACCAGAGACAGCCCCCGCCATACCTCCTCAATTACAAGATTGCATCTCTTTGCGTGTACACCAACCTCGCCGCCCGGGGGGAGTACGTAACGAGGGGAGCACATCGAGATCTGTGCGCCGGCCCTCGGGGACATCCCCACTCCTCTACCTGCGGGGGATCGGCGAGCCTACGTGGGCGGATAGACTTCGAGAAGCCGCAGTTCGTCGTGCACTACGCTGGGCGGGGAACACCTTCCACTACCTGACTGAGCAAATGGCAGGGACGACAAGATCGCCAACTTCACCTATGAGCAGCGACCCCCCGCCACCAGGGGGAAGAAAAAGACAAGCAGTGGGGGAAGATGAGGACGACCGCCCCTTAACACTCAACTCCCTCCTGGAGGCGCTCAAAGAAAACCGTGAAGAGATCGTTTCCCAAGTTCGCGGGGAAATGGAAGGCCTCTCCACGAGGGTCACTCAGGTCGAACAGACGATGGAAGTACATGTCACTCATACCACACAGCTGATGCAGGCGATGACCGACAGGCATGTTGCCATGGAAAAAAGCGTGCTCTCCGTGGGGGAAAAACAAGACTCCTTCATGCAGCGGCTCGAGCTCCTCGAGGGTAAGTTTGCGAAGGCTGAGTTCTCCCTCTCCAGCACCCGCACTTCAGAGTCAGACAGTGGGACGCAGCGACCCGCCCTGATCATCGGGGGATGGGATGCAGACCAGCACCATGAAGAGACTTTGCGCCTTGTCTGCAAACACCTGAAAGAACTCAACGTGGACCTCGACACCTCTCAGGCCTTCGTCCCAGGACTGCGCCGTGGCTTCGCTATTGTCCCACTCCTTAAAAAGCAGGGGGAGACCGAAGAGGCACAGCGAGCTCGCGTACAAGGCCTCCTCCGAGCCGTGCGAGAAGCACGTGTCATCACGGGCCAGAGACGAGAAGGGGGACATCGCTACCTCTTCGCCACGATGAGCCAGAGTCCAGAGCGGAGAAAGAGAGCCCAGATGGCCGGGAAAGTCAAGAGGCTCATTATTGAAGAAGGAGGAGAGCCTAGCCGCATCGAGGTGGAGTTCGGTACGGCCAACGTCTGGTATAACACCTCGAAGGTCGCATCCGGGGTAACATCAGCCCCGGAAGGGGCCACAGTTGAGAAGGCCGGCTGGGTACACTTGAGCACCCTCGCCCGCCAAATCGGGGGATCGGAGGAAACTTTGGCAGCTCGCTGGCAGGACCTCCGCAAAGCCTTGTCGTGACTACCGCACAAAGACAAGGCTGCCGGGCAGACGACACCAGTGCCCATGGCACCCACGCAAATTCTTACTTGGAACGTGGGGGGGCTCACCTCCGCTAAAGCACTGGCTGTCATCCTCGCGCTCAGGCGCGGGGGAATTAAATCCTTTGCAGGCTCCCTGGTGATCCTAATACAGGAGATCATTTGTGAACCGGGGAAACATCACTCAGAGCTGGAAGAGCTGCAGATGATCTTCGGCAAAGTTCCCGAGGATTGGCGGGGGAATGCCGTAGTGCATACCTCCAACCTGCACCACACCCGTGGAAAAGTTTTACCATGTGCCGTTTCGTGCGTCTTGTCCTCAGACAACCTCAGACTTGGCGCCCTGGCAATCCACATCCCACACCATGCCACACTCTCCACTACAGAACAGATTTTGCAACAGCTGCAACCCCACATACATACAGCTAACAAGACTGTTGTGGGGATAGATGCCAATGAGACGTTCTGTAGTGCACAACAACACAAGCAGATCAAAGCCGACACAGCCCGGGGGGAACTCCTCCTACATTGGTTTGAGGAACAGCAACTGCACTTGCCGCCCCAGGATCTACACCAGCCGAGCCATTTTCCTTACAATGCCCAACTCGAGCCTCGGCGACTGGACTACATCCTTGTCAAGAGACTCCTTTGCGACCCAGGAGAAGTACTACGTCAACGAGACATTGCCACTTCTGACCATGAGCCTGTCTTAGTGCCCTTGACTCAGTTGCAGCCTTCAGCAATTCGGAACAAGGAGCCACCAGCATGGACGAGCCGCCGTCTGCTTTCACCCTCGGTGGTCGAGCAGACCCTCGAAACAACCTCCCATTGCGGGGGAGGCGACCCCGTTACACTGCTCCAGAACGTTGCCGTGTCTATCACCAGACCCGGCAAAAGTCGAAAACCCTTCCGGGAAAGTGCCGAGCTCAAACGCCTTCGTGAACAAGCACTTCGGCATGAACCGGGGGAACAAAGACGATCCCTGTGGAAGCAGTGTCGCAAGATGCACCAGACCGAACATAGACAGTGGCAGAGGAAGGCTATGCAACTAGTGGCCGAGCAAGATTGGGCGACCAAGCGAGCACTCGTTGAGCAGAGCCGCAGTCACGAGTGGGAACTCTCACTCACGGACGACGAAGAGTGGCGCAAAAAGCTGCGCCAACACTTCCAGGGCATCTTCTTCCGA